GTATTCCTGTGGTTATTATAGTAACTGTACCTAGTTTATTTATGATAATTTGTGCTTCCTCTTAGCTGCAACTCTCCAGAATTTTATTATTCTCATTGAAATTAACTTAAAATACTAGTGCTTTGTTATTTTATCAAAGAAGGGTATCATAGTTATCTGAAGACTAAGTAGATTTCTGTTTTTAATCTGCATACCTGTTTAAGGCTAAATTAAAAAAATATTTATTATTATTTATTTACCTTTAGAGGAGAGATTTATATTTAGAGAAATATTCGGTACTTAAATACCTAATATTTAAAAATTAAGGTTCCTTGCTTTCTAACTAGCAGGGACAGCATACCTTGAGGTAGAAAATTTGTGCTAAGTGAAATAAACCAGGCAGTGAATCATAAATACCACAGGATTTCACCTATAAGTAGAACCTAATCAACACAATAAACAAGCAAAATGGAACTAGAGACATGGAAATAAAGAACAAACCGACAGTGACAGGAGGGGAGGGTGATAACAGAAAAGAAGGGGAAGGGTCAAGTCAAGGAACATAAATAGAGGACTCATAGGCATGGACAACAGGCTGGGGATTGACTGTGGGAGTGGGGGAGGTAGAGGTTGGACAGGGCAGGCGTTAGCAACAGGGAGAAAATTGGTACAACTCCAATGGAACAGCAGTAAAAAAAAAAAAAAAAGAAAACTTACATTTGCATTGTAGTTACAAACTGACCTGGTTTAGCTCAAAGTAAATGTTTTAAACAGTGAACTAAATCACAATGCTCTTTTGGTTTAGCTTTCTCCCACTGCCTTTTCAGCTAAGAGAAAAGGAGCCGGCTAGTGGAGCATCAGCCCTAATTCTGTATTTTTGGGGGAAGAATCTAGGCAACATTTGTTAACTAAATTTTTTAATTTAATTATTTTTCAACTACAGTATTCTGTCTTTTACTCCCATCCCAGCCCACCCCCCATGCCCCTCACCTCCCTCCCATTCCCAACCCCCTCCTTAGTTGTTATCCATGTGTCCTTTATACTAGTTCCTGTAAATCCTTCCCCTTTTCCCCCTGAAATTCCTTCCCCTCTCCCCTCTGGCCTCTGTCCCCTTGTTCTCTATTTCAGTGTCATTGTTTTTATTTTGCTTGCTTGTTTGTTTTGTTGTTTAGCTTCCTGTTAAAGGTAAGATCATATGGTATTTGTCTTTCACCGCCTGGCTTATTTCACTCAGCATAATGCTTTCCAGTTCCATCCATGCTGTTGCAAACAGTAGGAGCTCCTAAAGAAAAGAATAAACAAATGGAATCTTATCAAAATAAAAAGCTTCTGCATGGCTAAAGAAAACAGTATTAAAATAAAAAGACAACCAACTGTATAGGAAAACATAATTGCCAATGATACCTCAGACAAGGGTTTAATCTCAAAAATATACAAAGAACTTACATGAGGGGACTTCCACCAAGATGGAGGCATAGGTGGGAATACTTTGCGTCCTCGCACAACCAAATCTAAAAACAATAAAGTTTTAACAACAATAAATGCAACCAAACCACACAGAAAATCAAATACGGAGTCTGAAAACAATGAAATGCTCAGCTAAACTGGTGAGAGGGGCGAAGCCAGCAGCGGAGCTGGTCGGGCAAAAAAGATCCCCCTGGGCGGTGCACAGACAGCCGAGGGTGCAGATCCCAGGTGCGGGCTAGCCACAGGTGGAACCCAGGGAAAAGGTGCGGCTGGCTGTCTGCAGTCGGTCGCGCATTTGCATTCAGATAAACCAGTGAAGAGGCGAGCATCGAGACAGATCTTGCAGGCTCCAGCGGCTGGTGCAGGGCAGCGGGGTCACACATTTGCGCTTGGATAAGCAAGTAGGGGTGAGCGGTAAGGCGGACCGGTTAAGCAGAGAGGACTGCCATTGCTCCCTCTCTGACCCCACTCCCACATATGTGTCACATCCAGCGACCTGGGTGGCCCCGCCCTGGGGAACACCTAGGGTGCCTCTCCTCATACGTAACAGGGGCAGACAGATCAAAACATGGCTCAAGAAGAACTCAGAGCCCCAGAGCCAATAAATCTAAGTGATCAAGAAATAGCCAAACTTTCAGATGCACAGTTCAAAACACTGGTGATCAGGATGCTCACAGAACTGGTTGATTTTAGTCACAAATTAGAGGAACATATAAAGGCTAAACTAATTGAAATGAATGGTAATGCACAGGAAACCAGTAGTAATGGAAAGGAAACTGGGACTCAAATCAAGGGAGCAGACCAGAAGGAAGATAAAAATGACCAAACAGAAAAATATGAAGAAACAAGAATGCAAAAAAATGAGGAGAGGCTGAGGAACCTCCAGGACATCTTTAAACGCTCCAACATCTGAATTATAGGGGTACCAGAAGGGAAAGAGGAACAGTCACGAGTGGAAACCTTATTTAAACAAATAATAAAGGAGAACTTCCCCATTCTGGCAAAGGAAATAGACTTCCAGGAAATCCAGGAAGCTCAGACTCCCAAAGAAGGTGGACCCAAGAAGGAACACACGAAGGCATATCATCATTATATTAGCCAAGATTAAAATGAAGGAGAGAATTCTAGAAGTAGGAAGAAATAAAGGGACAGTCACCTACAAAGGAGTTCCCATCAGACTGTCAGTGGATTTCTCAAAAGAGACCTTACAGGCAAGAAGGGGCTGGAAAGAAATATTCCAAGTCATGAAATCCAAAGACCTACATCCAAGATTGCTCTATCCAGCAAAGCTTTCATTTAGAATGGAAGGACAGATAAAGTGCTTTTCAGATAAGGTCAAATTCAGGAGTTCATCATCACCAAGCCCTTATTATATGAAATGTCAAAGGGACTTACCTAAGAAAAAGAAGATAAAAAAGATGAACAGTGAAAGGACAGCAAACTCACAGTTATTAACAACCACACCTAAAACAAAAGCAAATTAAGAGGACAGCTAGATCAGGAGTGAACCATAGAAATGAAGATCACATGGAGGGTTAGCAACAGGGGAGTGGGAGAAGGAGAAGGGGGAAGAATGTACAGAAAATAAGTAGCATAGACAGTAGATAGAAAATAGGGTGGAGGGTAAGAATAATATGGGAAATATAGGATCTAAAGAACTCGAGACGTGTTCATGAACTAAAGGGGGGAATGGTGTGGGAGGGGTGTGCAGGCTCGAGGGGAATGGAGGGGGGAATAGAATAAATGTAATGGCATAATCAATAAAATTTAAAAAAAAGAACTTACACGACTCCACTCTAAGAAGACAAATAACCCAATTAAAAAATGGGAAAAGGACTTGAACAGACACTTCTCCAAGGAGGACATACAGAATATCCAGAGACACATGAAAAGATGCTCAATATCACTAGCTATCAGAGAGATGCAAATTAAAACCACAATGAGATACCACTTTACACCAGTCAGAATGGCTGTCATAAACAGAGCAACAAACAACAAACGTTAGAGAGGTTGTGGGGGAAAAGGGGTCCCTAGTTCACTGTTGGTGAGATTGCATACTGGTACAACCATTATGGAAAACAGTATGGAATTTTCTAAAAAAACTAAAAATGGACCTGCCTTATGACCCAGCAATGGAATTGCTGGGATTATATCCTAAGAACTCTAAAACACCAATCCAAAAAAACCTATGCACCCCAATGTTCATAGCAGCACAATTTACAATAGCCAAGAGTTGGAAGCAACCTAGGTGCCTGTCAGTAAATGAATGGATCCAAAAATTGTGGTACATATACACAGTGGAATTCTAGGCAGCAGAAAGAAAGAAGGAGCTCCTACCCTTTGCAATAATTCTGTATTTTTAACTTAATGCCTCCTTTTAGTTTCTCTTTGAGAGCTTTGAGCTTCAAGATGTGAACATTAAAGGATTTATGGTTTCTCAGTAAACCTCTCATACCGACAGTTGGAGTTTTTCTTTCTAATGATCAGCATCCGTTATATCAAAAACTTCCTTAACTATGTATGTAAATCTAACATCAACAAGAGAAGGTGGGGAAAATAATTTTAAAAAAGATTTAAAAACTCTTTTTTAATAAGTAAAGAAATTCAAGTTGTTGGAGGATTATGGCATTGCCTTAGTAGCAGAACAAGAGAGAAACAATTCACCTGTAAAAGACAAACATGGCTTAACAGTTGAAAACATCTACTCTTAATAAAGACAATTCTGGGTTCAACCACCAGCTCTGTTATTGACCAGCTCTGTGACCTTGAAATTGTCTCTTTTTTAAAAGATTTCTTTTATTCATGTTTAGAGAAAGGGGAAGAGAAGGAGAAAAAGAGGGAGAGAAATATCAATGTGTGGTTGCATCTTACATGCCCCCTACTGGGAACCTGTCCTGCAACCCAGGCATGTGCAACTGACTGGGAATTGAACCTGTGACCTTTTGGTTTGTAGCCTGCCCTTGGTCCACTGAGCTATACAAGCCACCGCTTGAAATTGTCTCTTGAACTCTATGAGGATCATCATAATATTTAACTTATAAAATCATGGAAAAGATTTAATAAGTTGAAATTAAAGCTTAGAATACTAACTGGCACACAGTGATATATATATATATATATATATATACACACACATTTATACATATATATATATTTCTATTTGTATTAATTGTAGCAGAATTAGTATGTACATTGGTATTTGTATAACCATAACATACAAAGGGTACTGAAATTTTTTTTGTGTGCTCTTTATGTACCTAGCATTGGGCTGGGTATTATCATTCATCTTTTTTACCTAGTCAGAAATCTGACAGTGGCTTCATTTTTCTTGTCTGGTGAGACTGAGGGACTTGCCTTGCATTAAACAATTAATAAGTGAAAGGCTTCATTTTATAATCATATTGTAACACCGGTTCCTGTGTTCCTCCAAAGTCACAGACTGAACTTCTGGTATATTGGACAGTCATGGATAAAAGTCTGTAAGACTCACAGTAATTGTTGACTTAAGTGATCCCTTTGTTTATTTCTTTCAATAGAAAAATCACTAAATAATTTTTCTCCAGAATCATTATAAGGATTTCTTCTCTGTGGACATGGAAGTAGGAAATTATACCATCCTGCCTGAGTTCATTGTGGTAGGCTTCTCAGCAAACCCCAGGTGGCAGGTGATTTTATTTGTAATATTTCTGACACTCTATTTGATAACCTTGTCAGGGAACATGACCCTGGTTATTTGAATTCATATTGACTCCTGCCTGCATACACCTGTGTACTTTTTCATCAGCAATTCATCTTTTTTAGACTTTTGTTACACCTCTGTGTATATTCCCAATATCCTGGCCAATTGTATCTCAGAAGATAAACGCATTCCCTTGGCTGTATGTGGAGCCCAGTTGTTCTTTTCCTGTGTTGTAGCCTACACGGAGTTCTATTTCCTAACAGCTATGGTGTATGACCGCCACAAGGCCACCTATAGCCCATTCTTTCATTCAGGTACTATGTACAGCTCTCTGTGTACTGGCATCTCTGCTGGCTCTTATGTAGGAGGGTTCAAGAATGCCATAGCTCATGTTGCCAACACATTCTGTCTTAGTTTTTGTGGTAAAAATATCATTGACCACTTCTTCTGTGATGTACCATCATTGGTAAAAATGTCTTGTACAGAAACCCAGGTCTGTGAAAAAGTCCTCCTAGATGTGGTGGGCTTCACCATTCTCTCTGGCATTCTTGCCATCCTGATTTCCCGTTTCAACATCCTTCTGGCTATTCTGAGAAGCTGCTCAGCCCCTGGAAGGTGCAAGGCCTTCTTCATCTGTGCTTCTCACCTCATCTCAGTCATGTTCTTCTATGGACCTTTGCTCTCCATGTATTCATGGCCAAGCTCCACCCACTCTCTGGAGAAAGACAAAGTGGCTGCCTTGTTCTACACTGTGGTCAGCCCATTGCTGAACCTTACCATCTACAGCCTGGGAAACAAAGATGTCAAAGAGGCCTTCTGGAAAGTCACATGGACCATAAGGACACAGGGATGAATGGTATCTTTTCGAAGAACGCTCTTACTGCATTTTTCAAATTACTGGTGTATAGATAGATATGTTGGTAAACATGCAATATTTCAACTAAATATAAGTTCTACTTAAAACAATAAAACATGATCAAACCACTTTTAATTATTTACATTATTTTGTTGTGCTTGAACTATTTTAAACTTATAATATTGGGTTGCTTGATATTCCACAATATTTCATTTCTGAATTAATTGATTTAGGATAAGGCATAGACATTGATATTAAAACCAAACAAACTACAACAATGAACTATAGTGCATTTAAGATTAAGTAATATCATTATGGAGGCATTATTTAGCTAATTTGGCTCTTTGTATATTGAAAGGACTAGTTAATGTTAACTTTTTTTTAACTGATTTGAGAGAGTAACATCATCTTGTTTTTCCACATATTTATGCATCTTGTTGTGCTCTGACTGAGGATCAAACCTGCAGCCTTACACAGTGCTTTAACCAACTAAGCTAACCAGTCAGGGTTAATTAATGTTAACTTTTTGCTTTCTTTCTCTCTTCCTACTTTTCCTCCTTCTTTTCTTCCTCTTTACATCCAAAACAAGGGAGTAAATGCAGTGATCTAGATATCTTTATGCTCATTTTAAAGATAAACAAACTGAAACTAATAAAGTAAAATGGTATGTTTGAGCTCGCAATTTCCTGGCCTTACTGTTTCCTTATAAACAGTTTGCATTTAGTTGTTATGCCGTAGTATGTGGTTCCAGAATTTGCTATGACCAGAGAGAAGAGAACCTAGGGTTCAAATTTGCTATGTGGATAATTGAGAGTATACTAGGATCATAACCATCTCTAAAATATTGTTGATTTTAAGAAATGACTCTCCAGCCCTGGCTGGTATGGCTCAGTGAATTGAACCCCAGATTGCAAACCAAAAGGTTGCTGATTCGATTCCCAGTCAGGGCACATGCCTGGGTTGTGGGCCAGGTTCCCAGTGGGGGGCACTTGAGGGGCAACCACACGTGGACGTTTCTCTCCCTCTCTTTCTCCTTCCCTTTTCCATTCTAAAAATAAATAAATGATATCTAAAAATAAAGGAAATGACTGGTCTTTGAACTTTGCATTTTAGGTTTTGCTGTTTTTGAGATGAATACACTTATTTTTATGACTCCTAGTATTAGGCAATATAAAAGGAACAGAAGACTGTGGACACTTGGAAGGCCTGCAGCATAACCATGCTAAAGGTTCATATGCAGGGTAGAGAGATGAGAGGAGCTACAACCAACAAGTGTCTCAACCAGGAAGCCCTCGGAACAAATAATTACATTTTAATTACTGGTCTGGGACATTATCCCTCAAGAATCCAAAATTCAGCCTAAGGTCCTAAAATGAGAAAACTCAGATAACTTAGGGATTTCAGTGTGCATGCATTTATTATCTTTATTTCTAGTCTACTTATAAAAGGACTGAGTCAGATTAGGGTAGTTATTTTATTTGTAGTTATCATAACAGAAGATTTATTTTATGTCCATATAATTATATTTTTTGGACATGGATATATTGTCTGTTTTGTTTTTTATAGTAACTGTTTATGTGAGTAAATGGTAAGGACAGTTATGAAGCAGATTATTTCTACACATCACTTGTGTCCTTAGGGTATGTATTTTTCCCCTGCTATGCCTATGTTTGCAATGGCCTATTAAGACATAAATAATAGTAGTAAAATAAACTCATCTGTTATTTAACTTAAGGATCTTTTGGAATTAGGCAGCCTCTAGTACAAATTGTGTCTCTGCTAAATACTCTGACTTTGAGAAAGTTGTATAGCCTGCCTGACCATCAGTTTTCTCATCTTTAATGTGAATATAAATATACTTTGGAGTTATTGTGAAGATACAATTTACTATCATTAAAGGACCTAAAAATGGGTGTCACACAATGGAGAATTGTAATAGGTAGCAATTAATATCTCCTTGTTTTTTTAGGGGGAAAATATTAAACATTGTTAACTTTTTAAATGTATTTTTTTCCAACATAGCATTATGGCTGATGTTGGGGGCTGGCCCTCTCTCTGAAAGCATGGCCTTCCAGGAGACTTTGCTTTCATATTTCTCTCTTTATCCTCCAAGATTTTCAAAACCAGATCTTAATTACTTGTTCAAGAGGATTTGTAAAACTAATTCATACTAAGTGTAATTTGTAAGCATTGTATACAGTGTTTTTATTTAAAGAAATGATCATCTCTTTTATAGCATAATTCCCATAACTCAATGATGAATTTATCAGAAAAATATTTATGGACTTGTTGGCAGACCTTCCTAATATTCTGTCTTAACTAGGTAAGGAATAGAATTGTGATGCTATTTTTATTTTTCTTAGTCCTTGAACTTCTTAGTCCATAAGTTGATTTTTAGCAATATATCTTGTTAATTGATGAAGTGATAACCAATTAAAAAACATAGCAAATTTTCACAGTAGTTAACACATATAAGAATTGTATGAGTTTGTGTAGACGCTAAATATCTTTGTAATGATATGTCTTGAAATTCCAATATGGCTATGACTAACAGTTTTTCTACTCTTAGAACATAAATACATTGAGTAAACCTGGAGTTTATATAATATTGGTAGCTACACTGTGTGTTAGATACTGTGCTAGAACTTCTAGATGTACTTTCTAATGCAGTCATCAAGATAACCCCATGAATTAAGTACTAATACAGTTACCACTTAGCATAGGAGAAATATGAGATTTTGTGCAGTTTAGAAACTTTCCCAAGTCATCCAGCAGAGAAATGGTGGGATCAGAATTTGTATTCAGGTTACCCTTGTTCAGAGTTCATGCTTTTAACCTACACTATAGGACCTTGCAAAATTATCCTGGGGAAAATGAGTTATTACCAAAGGCCAACAATATTATCGGTATCTGTCAATACTAACTTAATAGAGAATTTAATTATGCATTGGAAAAATGTAGTAAGTTACGCAAGTAGTTTAAATTATAAAAATTAAAGAGTTTTCTATTGAACATTCTGAATTTATTAAAAATATCAGCCTTTTCTAGTTGGTGTAAATTATATTTTAGATTTCTTCCTGTAATTTGCAGAGCAGAAAGACGAGCCATTCATCCATGTTAGACATATGTTGCCTAATATGCTCTGTCGATATAATGCCAGAATAACCCAAAATAACCTGACCTTGACTAAGGTGTAGGTTACCATACATTGTATCTTGTTGACATCAAGTCACACCAACAGTTTTTTCTTTTCTTTCTTTTTCTTGAATTAGGCGGATTTTTTTGAACCTTAGGCAATGTTGTTCGTAAAAAAGAAACTATAATGCAGTAAGTGAATTTACCTCACTATGTACTTTGACTAAAGTCATAGCTACCATGGAGATGAATTTATTTTTAATTTGAGTTCAAGGCTGAAGAAATGTAGAAATCAGAAGGATTTCTTTGAATTTTATCAGTATTGATTCATGTGTATTATGTGCTAGAGAAAGGAGAAACACAGACAGAACAAGATCACCAGAAACCCAAAGTCAAGGGAAGAGATAGACGAAATATAAAGCAATAGAGTATGTTCAAACAATAGAAATGCTTCAGTAGAGAAGATTAGTTAACTCTCTCTGTCAGAGTGAATGAAATCAGGGGGAGTTTCAAAGGGGGTGTCTTGCATGCCTAGTATTTAAAAGGTTGAAGAGGAGTTTTCCAGGCAGATGACTTAGGAAAAGGCATTTGCTAACAGTAGTAGCCTTTGTCTGTGAGGTGAAATGGAGGGTGTACAGTTAACTAGGTGATTGCTAGCTTGATTGAGGTGCCAGTATAGAATCTATAGATAATTATAAAACATCCAGAGCTTTGGCAATGCCATATTTAAATTGGTGATCCTACTTTATACTAGGGTTATTATATTTATTTATGTGTCTTTATTCCTCTTGTCTTTGTCACAGAAATGCAGCTCTGTGTGGTCTGCCAGAAATAGAGTGCTTTATGTCCTGAAAAACTGGCAGTAAATGGGTTCTAGATGGTTTTCGGCAGTTACAGCTATTAAGGGGCTAAAAAATGTTCTTCGAGGCAACTGTGCATTAAGAAGGACTGAGGGCTTATCACATTTCATTGAATATCGACAGTGTTTATATGCTGAATCAAAATATTTGTTTCTTTATGTGAACAAAATTCTACATACACATGCATGCCTATAGAAGCAAGACTATTATTTTTGGTGTGCTTTTATTGTTATAGGTATAACTATTAACATATACATGTGTGTTGTAGGTGCTTACCTATATGTTCAGTAATTACTTGTGATTTTGGACAAGTTGTTTGCTGCCTTAAAGACTTAGCCTCTCTGCCATATGTGGGCATGAGGAGTGCCAGTAATTCCTGTTCTGCACTTAATAAAAATCCTTTTGTGAGAGTCACATGGATCATAATACTCATAGTTAACATATATTGAGCCCTTACTATGCATGTGTAACTCTGAGTGCCTTACATGGGTTATCTCATTTACCTTGTCCATCATCTCTGTGAAGGTGCTGCCCTTGTCCTATTCTTCAGATGAGGAAAGTTAGGCATAGACTGGTGGTGTGCATTGTGCAAGCACTCTCATCTGGTGAGCGGTGGAGCCAGGCATGCAATGGGTGCCCTCCAATCATAGATCCCATGCATTTCACCACTGGTCATGTGATCTGATTGTTCATCTAAGAAACTCACTGTGGGTGGGGGTCATTTGTTGTCATTACGATTGCTCCTAAAAAATCACCAAAACATTTATTATTTGCAACAGAACTTTTTAATACTGTTTGAAGGACCTGGAGGGGAACTGTGCAACGTCTTCTGTTCACTTCTAATTTGATGAAAGCAAGACTGTGAATTAATTTCTCTCTTCTTTTCCAGGCCTAACCTTCTTCATCCCTGGACTTCATATTTTGCATAATTTAATTCTCCAGTTAACTGAGTTACTAGATTTGAAAAGCCGACATTTAAATCAAAATATAAGAAAGCCTTCT